CTCAATAAATCCTTGCTGAATGACTGAATAAATGGGTAAATAAAAATAGCATGTCAAAAATATTCTCTAGAATAGATATACATTTCTGGTTCTACCATCAGAATATCTAAAAATAATATTTAGTTCTTTTCAGTTGCAAGGAGGTCAAATCAATGAATGATTTTTCAAGAGGGATATTTATATTTGTTGTTCTATTTCTTTGATGATATCATGTTTTATAATTAAGTGTGACTATGCACGAGCTCAAAATGAGTTCCTGGGATTTTGAATATTAATCAAGGGAAATTTTCCATGGTTTCCAAGGTGCTGATTTATAGCTACCATGCGAAAGACCTCATGAATAGACCTTTTATTATAATTTCCTTAGAATAGCAAACTCCCAGCTGACTCTTCCAGTAGAGCCCATGATTTAACTCTGGAATTTATTTTGACTCACTGACTATAAAAGCAACTGAAAGGAACATGTGGGAGTCATTGAAAGACTGCAGGTAGAACCCACTTTAAGAAAGAGAGCAAAAACACCCCCAAGTTGATTAAACAGATCAAATATATCAAATATTTTCGCTATTATGACAAAAGGATTCTTCACTTTGTAAAGGGAGTCACCTCAGGATTATTTAAAATGGTAATTCACTGACAATATTTTTAGTAATGAAATGTCTCCTATGTGAATGAAAGTGACATGGCTGTTTTATAGGAGATTGTCTAAGGCATGAAAAAAGGTACGGGTGGGTAAGGCAGCAAGTCTGGAGGCAGAAGCCAGTGTAGGGAGTCTTGAGTCCATTGTGGTGTGTCCAGAGAATAGGTCTTAAAGCCTGTTTTCTGAGTCTCATTAGAGAGAACAAATCAGTCAAAGCAGAATGGTGCCTATGGCCTTCCCTGGTGCTGCTCTGTGACTAAATGTCTGATTTATTTATAAGTCTCCAAATAAAGATCTTTTTTTATTAAATGAATGGTTCTGCTAATTTTAAAGTGTCCTGTTACTGCATTCATTTATCTTTGTTGACTCTAAGTATTTAGAGAATAGTTTGCTTCCCGACCTAAGAGGGTTCATATTCCCAAGACAATTAAGTTCCAGAAAAGATGTATGGAAAATGCATAGCCTCACAGTAGATATTTCTATTCCTAGGATAAAACCATTGTTTTTCAGCACGTTGAAAAGGGAACACAGGTGAAACTATTTTTTCTTAATTTTATCACTAGGAAGTACTACAGAAAAAAGACTGTCACTAACTCTTGAAGGCAATTTAAAAAAAATATGTGGATTATTGCTACTTATTTATTTTGCTGACATGAATTCTCTTTACGCTTATCATATATATATATACATATATATATATACATACATATATTTAATAATGGAAATTTGCAGAGAAAGGATGAATTAAAATGAATAACTAGCACCTGGATCCCTTCCTACGAGAAAGGTGAACAACCAGTTCCTTAGAGAAATGACATCTGCTTAAACTGCGCTGCCCAAAACAGTGACTATTTGCATTTAAATTAATTAAAATTCAATAACATTATCAATTAAATTGTTCAGTTGCATGAGCCACTTTTCAAATCCTTATTAGCCACTAGTGGTTACCATATTGAACAGCACACCTGTGGAACACTTCTATATCACAAAAAACACTACTCTAAAATGTCTGATTTTAAGTGAAAATAAGATATATAAATAGCAAGCACTCACACATAAATACATATATTGCACATACATCAATTATTTTAGAAACCTTAAGAACTAAAAGTATTCCACCACTTAAAGAGAAGTAGAAAATTTTAAAGAACAGAACCCTTAGTTTATTTTGTGAAATCTGCCAGAGAAGATGAACAGCCATTATAAGAACAGAAAATGAATTTAGCTTTAATGGAGCAGAATAAAAAGAGAAATACAGCAGGTCATTTCTAAGGTTTATTACAAAAGCCTCGAAAGGGTGAATGTATATTTTACCTGTTATTTTACATTTTGATGACTTAGAAGATTAATATTAAAATTATGGTTCAGAGAATAAAAGCTAAAAGCAGGTAATTGTCATATTAAAAATCCCAAGTAATTTAAACTTGATGAATATTACCCAATCACTTGTCCTATTTGAAACATCCTTTGATCCGGAATTTTTCAGCAGAAAATAATAGATTTTTACTCTACATACAGATAGAACAAAGCCTAAGTAGATTGAACCATGTGAATCAGTACCTAAGACTCCCAATGTTCACTTTCCAACTTACAGGTTTTAAAATATCTAAAGGAAATTCCACAGATAACATTTTTATATCACTACAATACAGAGTTAGTCTAAACCATCTATATAGATTTATTTTTTTCCTCATATCTATTACACAAATTGGTCAAAATGTGGATTTGTCATGCTGGATATTTAGTTTCCCATGAGCTAAGTCTTCCTTGAATCATTGGAACAACTACCCATTAGAGTAGATCCCAAAGAAAACATGACTAGAGTGCAATAACATGCTCATGCAGCGCTATGATTTCCCTGACACCAATACATCAGTGAGGAAAGGGGAACAGATCTAATCAGGGTGAGTGGTGAGAGCAATTGAACACAAGCTGAGATGTGGATGGCCAGGCATAGGAAGGAGTATGGAGGGTCACTGGTGACTTTCTATGCTGCCTCCACCTGTGTTTGAGAATGAGAGGAGGGGGTAATCCTACAACCATTGCTATTCCTGAGTTCTAAAATGGAATTGTCAATTTACATTGCTTTTACTAAATTGTAAAAATGCAGAACATTAGGTAGCTACATTTGAATGATCTATTTTAAGCTTATTTAAAAAAATTCTACTGTTTATGAAAGGACTATAAATAAATACTGCTTTCAAGTATGAAACTCTTGAGGCTACTTAAAATGTTTAACTAGTATGTGAGGCTATCAATTCTAGAAGCACAGATTCAGGTAGAAATCCAAATAGTGTCCTGAATGAACAGTGAAAACAAGGGGTTTTTATGAGAAAAATGAAAGAAATAATTATGTGAAAAGAAGAAAAAACTTCCTATTGGTGCTGACAAGATGATCTACTCTTGTATATACTTGATTGATTACTATTTCTATCTTCAAATAGTGGGTCCATAATTATCAGTACTTGTGATCAGGATGTCTGCTTTCCTGCTGACTTTCTAAACCATTGTTTGTCCCAGTCCAAAGTTTCAAGGAACAAGACAAGCATTCCAGTTCTTCTGGAATGGCTGCACTGGTTCCATTTTAAAATGGCTCCATTTATGTCATTTTCCACAGTGCTATGTTCATCCTCAGTGCAAGTTTCCCATCCCACTTTTAAGTTTAGCTCTTGATATTTTCAAAATACCTAGAAATTTAAATCTGAGCTCACTCAGTTTAAGTCGTATCTTGACACTAAATAATGGTTACCTTCCAGGATACCTTTTCTAAGCTTGCAACATATAGGCTTTTGAAAACCTTTGCATGGAAGCCAAAGAAAACACAGAAGAGAAGTAAGGTGAGATGAGTGGAGTTGTTCATCTCATGTAATTTTGATCAGTTTGCAAACCTCACATTTGCTTTCTTATGCTAACATATCCATGGGCTAGCATTATCAGAAAATAAATCATTCCCCCAAACTCCCCATTTGTGGCCTCTGTTAATCTAATTCTTTTGCATTCAGCCAAGTGCACATAAAGTTTAATCACAGGCCAGAAACATATGGAGTAAATTCCTCGAGACTGCTACTAATCATATTAGGATATCAACTGGGCATACAAAATGAATTGAAAATAAAAGCTAGAGATTGAGATCCCAATTTACATGTAGTTAGAATCCATGTAGTTAGCCCAGTTCATCATTAGCAAAATCCCCTTTATTCTTCCCATACCCACTTCCCATTCCAAACTCTATACTTAAACCAACTGGAATCAGATGGTCTAAATCGTAAGTCTACACTGTCATAGAGTACTGGATACCTTCTCTCACTTTAATGTGCACATGAGTCATCTGAGGATGTTGTTCAAGTGCATTCCTGATTCATTAGGACTGGTGTGGGGCCCAAAGTTCTGCATTTCTAATATGCCTTCAGGTCATGCTCATGCTCTGATTCACAGAGGACACTGAATAGCAAAGTTTTAAAGCAGAGTGTATCATTTGCTTCCCCAAATTGTGAACTATCTGTTATATTTCATAGACTATTCCATATTGCTCATGTTGACTGGCGACTTGATAGTTGGATATAAATCAATAAACACACACACACATACACACACACACACACACACACACACACAATGATATCCTAAAAGCTGTACTAATTATGATCTTTAACAAACATCATAAATACTATAATATGCATTACTTGGCCAAAATGGAAAATTCCAGAATTTGACTAATCAGAAATGATAAATGATATCTGTATTTTCCAATAAATTATTTATATTTTGCATTTTTATCATAGTTGAAAATTATATTAAAAGTGTTATTTCTAACATATGAGCTATTAAGTTTTTAATGACATTGTAAAACATTAATCAAATTTATGAGGTTTTCCCTTAAATTATGACAGTATCATGTTACTTTTTATTCCAAATTCATTAAGCACATTTAGTTTAATTGTCTGAAAAAGAGATGCTGAAGGCATGTTTAATTTTTTTTTAACTTTGCCTGACAGTTACTTATATTTTATCCTTTTTTATCCCACAGACAGGAAGACAAATATGTTTCCTTTCTTTCCACAAAAGGAAAAGTCAGATGATGGTCAAAATGCTTTGTTCCAAAAGCTGAATACTGAAAATGCTTGTTGTACTGGTTTATAATCAATTAAAATATATTTTATTTAATTTAAAATTTTAAGTCAAATATAATAGAGATAAAATATTTAAACATACATCTATTTTTTCTGAATTGTGTTTCTTCAGCTATAGTCTGTCATCTTTTTTCTTACTAATTTTTATATAAAACCCTGATATATTTTATTAGCCATTCATGTTGTACTATGCATGATCCCAAGAAATCATATCAAAATATTATGCTAACCTTCAAATATGTGGCTGTGACCACTTTCAGGTGACATCTTGTCAAAAGATGTTTCCTCGCCTTTCTTGTCTGAATCTTTCACAGAATCATCGGACTGGCTCCCAGGGTGACTCTTAAATGTTGGTGAACACAAACTTCTCTCTATTTCCACTTCCTGTTGGAAGACATTAAAGGAATGTGTGTTAAAAGCTATCAGTGGGAAACAGATGTGGTTTTCAGGGGGTTTAAAAGGCAGCAATGAGAGAGGGAGGGGGTTTCTATGAGTAATGTTTTCCAATATGCTTCAGGAAAAATTTTGATAACTTAGCAAAGAACTACAAACACATATCTGACACTTAGTTTACTTTTTTGCCACTAGTTCCACTTCTGAATTAGCTTTTCTTTCATGTAGCTTTTTTTTTTCTCTTGTACAAGGGAAAAAGTGGAAATAAGGGTCACAATACAATATAATATGCTAATACATGCAAATTCCTGAGGCCTGAGAAATATCCATGAGGGATTTCAAAAAATATCAATATATCAACATTATATGCTTAAGACAGAAGAAAATGAGTTTTTTAATGTATGTTCATCTTATAATGATAATCTTAGTAATTATAGAGCTCCCAAATTATAAAGCCATTCAGCCACCATACAGAAAGTACAGTTTGACAATTCATGAAAATTGTGAAATTACTTCTTTGACATACTAATTCAAAATTAGAGAGCTAAAGATCCCCCCCCAAATGTAAAGAATGTTTCAACTATAAGGAGTCTAATATTACTTATTCTATATACTGAGTAGTAAAATCTAATAAGACAAACCAAGTTAATTAGACTAATTATTTTGAGTAAAAAAATGTAAAAACTAGGTAAATAAGCCAAGACAAGTTGAGAAGCAATAGTGTATTAAAAAATAAAATTCAAGTAATATGTTGAAATATTTTCAATAACTACTTATAAGTTTTGGAGTTTTGTACATGAGATTGTGTTTTCTAACAACAGTCATTGAAACAATGATGTGATGAATTACCCTTCATTTTTGTTAAATTTTAAATACACTGGCATGAGTGAGTCATTTGAGAGACAGCTAAAAGTTCTGAAACATTTCTTTAGAGTGTGCACATTTTCTATATAATATGGTTGCAAAAAGCAAGGCTTTTGTAAAAATAACCTCTTGGCTTGTTCACATTTTCTAATTTTTATATCTATCTATATCTATATCTATATCTATCTATATCTATGTCCATCTATATCTATATAATTTATATCCATATATGGTTATATAAATAATTAGAAAATATTGGTATGTGTTTAGTTATCTCATCTTTAAATACCCTCCAAATATATAATGTATAATATCTTCATTATTGAGAATTTTAACTGGAACTAAAAGCATTTATAGGGAAAAAAAACACAGGAAAAGGTTTCTATTTTTTCAGTGCATTGCCTTTAACATTTGTGTTTCCAGCTATTATCAAAAACCCAAAGGTTCTTAACAGTAGTGCTTTTTTGTGCTGTGGAGACACAATGTCAGAGGTGTCATGATCTGTGGGCATGAGCTTCTTAGCTAGTGAATGAGCATAGCATCCTTACCTCAGTTCATTCTGGTCCTCTTCCACTGTCATGAAAAGTGACCGCTATGAAATGGATTCAATAAGTTTGTCTGTTTCTGTTTTAGCAACTTAATCCAACTCCTAGCATTGGCAAAATAAATGAGGTGAAGAGAAAATGAAGACACTTAAAAAGCAGTGAATTCTTGGAAATTTTTTTGTTTTGACAAAGGGCAGAATGCTGAATGGGGCCCATGGACTCAATTGATGATGTGAAAGGATCATCTTTCTGTTTCATACAGAAACATGGAAATGTGATTTGGTGAAATTGTTTAAGCAAATATTTCAGTCAGGCATGACATTAACTTTTACTATATCGGCATTCTCAATTTTGAATTTACAAATACCAAGAGTGCGTCATATACTGAGGCGGTAAGGGACCCCACATACAGTCTACATATGAATGTAATAGGTAGACCTGTTTACAAGCCTCCATCATTAGATCCAAGTCATTCTGACGCAACTTCCTTAGCACCCTGGCAAGGGGTGAGGAGGGGCCTGTGTAGAGATTTAAAAGAACTTCTTAGATGAATTTGAATTGAGCTTTCTCTAATCAAAGCAGTGATTTGCTTTAATCTCTTTTAATCTGTTTTATGCACTCTGCTTCTACAAAAGATTTACTTTGAGTAAAAATCTACAGGCTTTGACACATGCACAAAATACCAGTTTAGAGGGAAAAAATGCAGCACTTGAGAAACTTGAAGTCTTCTTCCCTTTGCTACTTATTTGTTGTGTAGCCTTGCTCAGGTCACTTGACATGACTGGGACTAAATTTTTTTATATATCATATGAAGAGATTTAGTCTCCAAACACCTAACATTTAACAACCAAGCATTTGCATTCTAATGTTATTTGAAAAAAAAAACATAATAAAGAAATAGTATTCATTATTTTTACCTTCTAGTCCAGTGAGGGAAACAAAGAGTAATAAAGCACATAAATCAATGTAAATACGCAACAATGTACAGGCCCAGAAGGAGAGACATAATCCTGAGTGTCTAATATGGGAAATTAATCTAGTGAGGAAGGTCATGCAAAACTCCCCCGGGGAAACAATCTTCAGCTGATATTTGAAGAATAAAATGGGGCTTAACGAAGTGAAGGCCTCTCCAGGTGCAGAGAACATGTGCAAGTGTCTTGGGCCGAAGGGAAGCAGAGTGGATAGAAATGTGGCTGGAACAGGGGGCCTGAAAGAGAACATGAGCAGAATGACCTGTACAGCTAGGTACAGGCTAGATCATGAAGCACCTGGAGGGCCATATTAACTATTCTGGTCTCAGCTGAATGGGGAGTTACTGAAGAATTTTAACCGTGTGTGTGTGTGTGTGTGTGTGTGTGAATGTGCACACATGATCAGTCTGCAGTGTGGAAAGCTCAGTCTACCTCTAGAGTAGGCTTTCTCAACCTTGGCAAAACTGACATTTTGAACTACACAATTCTTTGTCATGGGGGGCCTATTCTGTGCACTGTGGGATGCTTCGTAGCATTCTTTGTTTCTACCCACTAGATGCGAGTAGCATTGCTCCCCTGTTGTCACAGTCAACAGTGTGTTCAGATATTGCCAAATCTCCTGTGGGGAGCATGTCACCCCTGGTTGAGAGCTGCTACTCTAGGGTAGGCTAGACTGGAGGAAAGTCAAAATACATGTGGGCAGATCAGATAAGAGACCATGGCAGTATTCCACACAAGCAATGACCGTCTTGAACAAAGGGTGGTGATGAAAATAGAGAGAAGTGAATTAAGTTGAAAGTGATTTAGGATGTAAATCTGACAAGACTAGGTAATGGATTGAATCTGAGGTTTGTGAGAGAGAGAGTTTCATTTTCTTTCTGGTGTGTACAACTAAATGGATTGCGATACTATTAGATAATGTCAGAGCATCAGAAGATGGCTGGTTTGGGGGAGAAGACAGACTATGAGCTGGGTACCAAAGATGTCCAAAGGCAGTTGGATATGTAGCCCTGTAGCTTGGTGGAAAAGTCCTAACTGAACAAGTAATTTGTGAGTCATGTGCCTTTTAGTGGTAATTGAAACAATGGATGTCGATTAACTTGCTTCCAGTGTGAGGAAGAACTAGACCAGAACCAAACCCTGAAACATGCTGACATTTAATATTGTGGCAGAGGAGCAAAAGCAGACCCAAAAAAGGAAGAATATCAGAAGGGAAGACTATCTTTAACAATATTGAACTCTTAATGAGAGCATAAATTAGGTAAGGACTTAAATATGTCCTTTGAGTTTAGCCACATGAATATAAACTGTGGAATAAAACTGTTTTGGTGGAAGTAAGAAGGTAGGAAGGCAGAGTGAAATGGGTAAAGCATTAACTGGGTGATAGTAAGTACAGATAACTTCTTGAATAGATTAGCATTAAAGTAGAGGAAGAAATAGAGCAGTAACTTGAAAGACATGTGTTTTGTTTTAAAGGGAGAGACTTGCATATGCTGAAAAGCCACTTGGAAGGAGACAGACACGTTGGCTGTACAGAGGAGAGAAAGTAAAATCAGTGATGTAAAATTCCCGAGAGGGGTAAGAAGAGGCATCCCAAAGCATAGATAGAAATATAACCCAAAGATCAGAAAACATAAAGCGTTCCTGTTGTCACAAAGGGGAAGGAAGGTAAAATTACTGTATATAAGTGATTTGGTAGCTTGGTAGCTTGAAGATGAAAAAAAAAATCCCAGTCTAAAATCATCTATTTTTTCTGTTAGAATGTGAGGTCTGATGAACGTTGTAGGAGTATTTGAAGAGAATACAGAAAGTTTAATCTCATTTCTGTGAGGAATGGGGAAGTAAGGTGAGCAGACAGAGATGACAATGGCTAATGTAGTATCAGGATCTCATTTGAGGTTGGTAACATTAAACTTACAGGGCTACTGATAGACCCTGCTGAGTGACTTTGTCTGAAATTGCTCCACAGCTCTCCTTCAGGCAATGAGAAAGTGGATAGTTGACTTCAACCAAGAAGAGGTTTTGTGAGGAAAAAATTAAAAATAAATTGTGAGTTGCAGGGTAGGCTAATGTATGGGAGGGGGCAGGTATAGGGGAATTTAGGTTACCATCAAGAGAACTAAAACAGTGATTGAAATGATACACCATGGAATACAAATGGATTAAAAGGGAAGAACATAAAAGAAGAGTGGATTAGAAGATAGAAAAAGGCTCAACAGACTGGAATCCTGGTGAAAATAAAGAATCCTTGTAACTGAACACTTGGCAAAGCAAATTAAAAAGAAAGCTAACCAAGAAGTTCACTTTCATGATTTGGGAAGTACAACAGTTACAATTGCTAAGATCCGGTTGTGACCATGAAAATGGAAACTAAGGTGGAATACAGAAGAAAGTCTTTACATAGGAGGAAAGCTAGGGTCTCAGAGGCTGCCATGATGTCTCAGTATAATGGAAGGGCTTAAAAGGCTGAGAAACACTGTAAATTAAGTGTCAACATCCTGGGTAAACAAAGGAAACAATTGAAA